AGGTATTACTGTTGTACTGCGTGCGCGCAGGTCCTTCTTCCCGGACGTGTGGCAATGAGCTGTCGCGGCCGTCCTTACTCGGCAGACACTCAGCACCCGCCGAGCAAAGGCTTCTCACACCAACTGCACAGTTACCGGCGCGGGGAGGGGTGTGGGGAACGGGGCTCCTGCCTCCCGGACGGGCTGCGATGCCTGCGGGCAGCCGTGCCCAGTGCTGCGCCCCTCCTGCCGGGGATGCGGAGTCGCCCACCCGGTCCGTCCCCTCCCTGCCCTTCGCTCCCCGCCGTCTGGAACGGCTCCCGCTCTCGGAGGACGGTCCGGCTTCTGGAGAACACAGTTGCCAGGCCCCCTCTTAGAGCTGCTCGGTTCAGGTGCAAGTTCTCTTTTCGCAGCTTCCCCTTCTCAGACCTTGACTCTGGCTCAGGCGAGAAGCCCCCCGCGTGTCGGTGCCACCGATGCTGAGGGCGCGGGGACGCTTCCGTGAGCAGAGCAGCATCTGGCAGGGAAGCCAGAGTGGAGGGGCGGGGGCTGGGGACACGTCTGAGCCCAGGCTCACCGTCCAGCGGCCGGCGTGCCCGTGTGTCTGCGTGCGCACACCGCGGGGACCAGGCTTGAGGACCACATGGCAGACGGTGAGTTTCTGCCTCTTCAGTCCTGGGTTCTCCTGGAGGGACCTGAGCCGCCTCCTGCCAGAGACCCCCCCATCCGCGGCCCCAGGGGATCACCCGTTGCCAGAGCGATGCTCTCGGGAAACAGCTCTCAGGAAGGAGGTTCCTGGCAGAGGGAGGAGCCCCTGCTCCGGCCGCCCTGGGGACGGGTCCCTGCAGGGCAGTGGAGGCGGGCGCTGTCAGCAGATTTGTGGGTGCAGCCTCCGGGTCCCGAGTCTGAATGGACAAGCCGCTTGGCCTCCCGATAGTCCGTGTCGTGCCCCATCCGAGTCCTGTCCTGTGGTCCTTGCACGGTGCTTGCGACGGTGCCCATGTAATCCCTTCGCGAATGATGAAGCGTTGTGCACATGTGACCCTTCCTTAGTTATCGTGATGACGTGACCTTGAAAATGAATCCTTGAGGCTCCGAGAAGGGTCCATTGTGGACACATCTGTCCTTAAGCAGCCATTCTCCTCAGCCTCCTGTGAGATCCCTTTGCTTCCACCACATGCAACCACATGTCCTGTCCTCCCCACTTGGGGACACTGCCTCTGGGCTGCCACGGGACCTGTTTGTTCCTAGAAAGGGGGCCCATCCCTCCCCCTTCTTTCCTACACCCCTACATTTGGCTCAGGCCGTGCAATTCCAGGCAGGCACGTATAGCCCGGCTTCACCCAGAAAAGGGGTGTGATGTGATGTGATGGGGAAGAGGATGTGAAAGGAAGCTTTGGGTGAGGGATAAAAGGAGTGACGTGAATTTGGGGTGCGGGGGCCTATGGCCATCACCCAGCCGCCAGGCTTTCCTGTCCCTGTTCTGCTCCTGGCTTTCCTGTCCCTGTTCTGCTCCAGGCTGCAGCTTGTAACCGTCTTTGTCCCCTTGGTTCCCAGGCAAGCACCCTAAGGCCAACAGCTTTCAGAAAAAGCCAAGACTATCAGCCTCGAGAAAGTTCCTCTCACCGTCCTGTCGTGAGAACTTTCATTATCGTCACTATGTGGTGAACGTCAACGTTGGACTTGCACACGAGGAGTCCTTGATCACGAATGGGAGTTGTATACATGACTGTCTGCTCACAAAACCCGCAGTCCGGCTCCTGACCCGGACTGGACTTCTCATTCCTTTCGCTTCCATAGTGACATGTATTTTCAACAACTCTGACGGCGTCTGAACTGGAACTCTATGGCGGCGTGAGCTTTCTGCCGATGGAGAGCGCTGGGAACTGGCGGACTCCTTCCATACACAGACGTGTGTTCTTTCTGTAACAGAAAGGCCTTTGAACTGACAAATCTTGTACTTAACAAAGCATCTGCAGATCCCTAAGTCCACAAGCGACTCCGCGCTATGGCTGGTGGTCTGGGAACCAGGGGATCGAGTCTCAGTGCGCCTGGAATTGGGAGCCAAGCCTCTTGGCGAATTTAGGACCATGCGCAGCCTCTTAGCTCCCCGTCCCCGCTAGACGGGACACTTCCCTTGACTCTGCCTGTGGTTTTTGCTCGAGCACCTGCAGCAGCGGTGCCCCCAGAGCCTGTCCGCAAGCACCTCCCCGTGAGTCCGCACGGGGCTCCTGCCCAGCGGTTGAAATTGCGCTTGGAGCCCACTTTGTCTAAGAGGTGTGAGGTCTTTCATAGAAACAAGCGGACTCTTGCATTCTTTGATTTTCTTAGGACCATGTGACTAACAGATAAAGAAATTTTGGATTTGCACATAGCTTTATCTAACTTAAGCTTACTATCTGTGGTCCTTCCACTGACAAAAGGTAAAACTTTAAAGGAAAGCAGATGTTGTCTTTTTAATAACCTTGCTCTGGGAAAACCAGAGGAAAGTCTGGGAAAAATCTGCATTCAAGTAACAAAGTGTGATTTGGCAAAATCTAAGAAAAGACAACCAAGTGGAAACAATTGAGCAAAGACAAAAACAGCATTTCACGGAAGAAAAGTCACAAATGGACAGGAAAGGTAAGAGAAGTCCTTTAACCTTACTCATAGCTTATTTGTAAATGAATTGTGATTTGAAATGCAAATCCCAACCCTCTGTCCCACATCTCAGGCCAGCAGATCGGGGGCTAAGCACCCAGGAGGCCGCAGGGCAAGGAGAACGCCTCTTACCACCAACCGACCGTTGACCGTCTCCAACCCCACGGGAGGTTCTATGAGGCGCAGCACTTTTGTTCCTACACTCGCGCCCCAGGGAAAGTGTCCCCACCCGCTCAGTATCTGCCCCTTTCCTTGTAGAGCTACCCTGTCAATGAAAATAAGCTCACAAGGATTTTGACGGGCACTGTCGGGTCATTGTATCTTCTCGCCGGAAGGTCTGTTGCGGCAGGTACGTGTGGGGGTGCGGCACGGACCCACACACCTGCTCTCAGTGTCCTCGCTTCCGGGATCACAACCGCGAAGGACTCCCCCCTGCTCTGCAGCCCCTTCCTTAGCGCAGGGAGACCCGAGACGGCTTCCCACTGGAGAGTTTCCAGTAGGCCACCTGAACAGGGGCTTGCAGATCTCCTTGGGGACACGGACGTCATATGAATAGGACACCTGTCCGTCCGTCACTTGGAGTTGCTCTCACTGCGGTCACGTGCTCAGCACGTACTGTCTGTGGTTTTTGAACAGAATTCGACAGCAGACAGCCGTTCGGTGAAGCTGTGGTTCGTCTTCTGAAGACAATGGACCTTTAGCACCAGAAACACAGTCACAGGCACAGCAGGTAATGTAAAACTGGGAAGTAGTAGTAGTAGTAGTAATGGTAGTAGTAGTATTCCCAGCTTAATCTTTATTTCTAGATAGTGAATTAATGTTTTATGTAAAGCTCTGACTTATGATTGAGCCTTTAAGTCACGCCCAGTACCTTGAGTGTGAGTTTGCTCTTGCTTACGACGTATCTTCTGTGACTCACTGTACAGTGCGTACAACGGTCCGCATTTCAGACACAAAACCAACGCTCGGGCTCAGGTGTCTGGGTAAAGGGGAGGGGCCGGTGGAGACTGGGAGCCCAGGGTCCTACCTCCCGGGAGTGGACTCCGGCCACCATGCGGTCCCACACCGGCCTGCAAGTCAGCTGGAGTCACAGAAACCCTACGCTGTCCCTCACCTCTGCGCCCGCCATCCTAGAGCTCCCACTGGGAGTTACGTGCCTGTGTGATGGTGGCTTCTGCCAAGACATCATGCCATTTTTGCTTTGATCTGAAATAATCGAATCAAATGCAAATTATAGACAAATCTCAATGAGCTCTTCGTTGAGGTTATAAGAAGTTGAGGGAATTAACTTTGATGACAACACACCCAGCAAATAGACGAGAAAGCTTGTGAATGAGGGAGCTCTGAAGGGAATTCCCTCAGAATGTGGAATTCTAGCTCTGACACCTCATTTTTTAGGCTCACTTAAAATCATGTTCATTTCTAATGGCCGGTGTTCTGTGCGAACTAAGAAAGCAGCAGGTGTGGACTGGAAGACCAGAGTCCCACGTTTTCCATGTTTGTCTCTGTCCCTGTGGCTGCAAACACAGGGCCCCAGATGGTGGCGCCCCGGCTAGGCAGCCGGACAGGTGCAGAGAAGGGGAGAGTGTGGCCGACGGGCCGTGTCCCGGGAAGGTGGCTTCTGGAAGGTACCGTGTCCTGTCTGTATCCAGTGTTCTGGCCAGAAGTGGGTCACACGGTTCACCTGCTGAGGCCGTGGCCCCTGCACGCTCTGCAGCTCCTCCTTTCTCCATGGCCTGGGCTTGCCCAGAACTGCAGAGACTCTGGAAAATTCTCAGTTCGCCAGCCGTCTGCACACAGACCTTGCCCGGTGAGGCCCGAACCCCAGGCTTCGGGAGGCTCCCCGCTTGGCACAACCTGCCGCGGGGACTCCCTCAGCCCCGGCATATCTCATGGGGCCTCTCTCACCCTTTCTTTTAGCCTAGCTTACCCTTCCTGTCGAACTTCCCCACTTAAATCAGTGTGGTGGTCTGGTTGGGTTTTTGGTCTCCTGATTAGACCCGTGCAAATGGTAATATGACAGCAAGTAGTTAAGATTTCTGAACCCAATTCCAATCACTCAGAAACTGCAAAACCACAACATATATTTATTTAAGCTTCCAGCCATTGTAGAATTTCACTGTTTCATGGAAACAGATGGTAAAAAAAAAAGTCAGCTACATGAGAAATGATAACCCCTCATTGTTTAATGATTCCATCTGTAAAATTCTTACCCTGGTTTCTATGCTGTTATTCCCCATGTCTTTTGGATGACTTGGAGATGCTGTATATTTTAACCAAAATAGAATATATTTTTAAGTGTTTAAAAAGAACACAAATCTAAACCCATATATGACTGAAAAAATTAATGGTCTTATATTTTATTAATTGATATAAAGTTACAATACCAAAAAATAGCCACAAAAATTAATTACTGATTCCTTGGATATATTTTCAATCTCGTACCTACAACATTAAATTCTTTGAGCCACTGGAAACATGAACTTGCCTCACAAAAATACTTAATGTTCTCAAGGGAATTCAGCATTTTAGCATGTACCCTATGAATTACTACTTTTAAAGTTGCATGTGCTGTCATGACCCATGAAAATAAAAACCCAGTGAGATCAGTAACACATAGTGGGCGACAAGGGGACAGTTTTTGAACTAACAGTTTAAATGTAGACTGACCACGTGTTGATTTAAAGTTGAAGTAGCAAATGTTTCTTTTTGCTGAAATAGCTTTTATTATCCTAAGACTCTACTGATTTTTCAGAAACAAAGCCGCTCCACACTGAATCCACTGGTCTTGGTTGCCACCACATGGGACGTCGATGTTGGCTACGACGCGGTCCCTCTCGGCGCTCGTGTACACGGGCAGAGATATGCACTCATCGGGGGAGTACGGCCCATATGCGCCCTGCAGAGAGAGACAGACAGCCAAAGATGAACTCAACGCTCCCCAATGGTAAGACTGAGTAGTTAATTCTGAAATGTTTTAAATAAGGACTAACGAGTTAACCCCACAGTCCAGCTGCGATGAGTCAACTGCCAGCCAGCTGTGCAGCATTCGTGGTCCCTGAAACTTGAATCGGGAGCATGGTGAAGACCATCCTACATATCCAAACCCTTCCTCTCTAAATATTTTCTTTTTCTCGATTTATTTTTAAATTATGTTTATTAACATATAGTGTATTATTTGCCCCAGGGGTACAGGTCTGTGAATCACTAGTCTTACACATTTCACAGCACTCACCATAGCACATACCCTCCCCAATGTCCATCACCCAACCACCCTATTCCTCCCCCAACCCCCCAGCAACTCTCTGTTTTGTGAGACTAAGAGTCTCTTACGGTTTTTCTCTCTCCTGATCCCACCTTGTTTCATTTTTTCCTTCCTTGACCCCACAAACCCCCACGCTGCCTCTCAATTTCCTCATATCAGAGAGATCATATGATCATTGTCTTTCTCCGATTGACTTATTTTGCTCAGCATAATACCCTCTAGTTCCATCCACGTTGTTGCAAATGGCAAGATTTCATATCTGTTGATGGCTGCATAGTATTCCATTGTGTATATATACCACATCTTCTTTATCCATTCATCTGTTGATGGACATCTAGGTCCTTTCCATAGTTTGGCTATTGTGGACATTGCTGCTATAAACATTCGGGTGCACATGCCCCTTCAGATCACTACATTTGTATCTTTAGGGTAAATACCCAGTAGGGCGGTTGCTGGGTCATAGGGAAGCTCTATTTTCAACTTTTTGAGGAAGGAACCTCCATGCTGTTTCCCAGAGTGGCTGCACCAGCTGGCATTCCCACCAACAATATAGGAGGGTTCCCCTTTCTCTGCATCTTTGCCAACACCTGTCATTTCCTGACTTAATTTTAGCCATTCTGACTGGTGTGAGGTGGGAGCTCATTGTGGTTTTGATTTGTATTTCCCTGATGCCGAGTGATGTGGAGCACTTTTTCATGTGTCTGTTGACCATCTGGATGTCTTCTTTGCAGAAATGTCTGTTCATGTCCTCTGCCCATTTCTTGATTGGGTGTTGAGTTTGATAAGTTCGTTATAGATTTTGGATACTAGTCCTTTATCTGATATGTCATTTGTGAATATCTTCTCCCATTTGGTCAGTTGTCTTTTTGTTTTGTTGACTGTTTCCTTTGCTGTGCAAAACCTTCTGATCTTGATGAAGTCCTAATAGTTCATTTTTACCCTTGCTTCCCTTGCCTTTGGCAACATTACTAGGAAGAAGTTGCTGTGGCTGAGGTTGAAGAGGTTGCTGCTTCTGTTCTCAAGGATTTTGATGGTTTCCTGTCTCACATTGAGGTGTTTCATCCATTTTGAGTCTATTTTTGTGTGTGCTATAAGGAAATGGTGCAGTTTCGTTCTTCTGCATGTGGCTGTCCAATTTTCCCAACACCATTTGTTGAAGAGACTTTTTTCCACTGGACATTCTTTCCTGCTTTGTCGAAGATTAGTTGACCATAGAGTTGAGGGTCCATTCCTGGGCTCTCTATTCTGTTCCATTGACCTACGTGTCTGTTTTTGTGCCAGTACCATACTCTCCTTATGATTACAGCTTTGTAATAGAGCTTGAAGTCTGGAATTGTGATGTCATCAACTTCGGCTTCCTTTTTCAACATTCCTTGCTATTTGGGGTCTTTTCTGGTTCCATATACATTTTAAGATTATTTGTTCCATTTCTTTGAAAAAAAAATTTGATGGTATTTTGATAGGGATTGTGTTAAGTGAGTAGATTGATTTAGGTAGCATAGACATTTTCACAATATTTGTTCTTCCAATCCAGGAGCGTGGGAACATTTTTCCATTTCTTTGTGTCTTCCTCAATTTCTTTCATGAGTACTTTATAGTTTTCTGAGTACAGGTTCTTTGCCTCTTTGGCTAGATTTACTCCTAGGTATCTTATGGTTTGGGGTGCAATTATAAATGGGATCGATTCCTTAATTTCTCTTTCTTTTGTCTTGCTGTTGGTATATAGAAATGCAACTGGTTTCTGAGCACTGATTTAATACCCTGACACTTTACTGAATTCCTGTATGAGTTCTAGCAGTTTTGGAGTGGAGTCTTGGGTTTTCCACATAAAGTATCATATCATCTGCAAAGAGTTTGACTTCTTCTTTGCCGATTTGGATACCTTTTATTTCTTTTGTTGTCTGGCTGCCAAGGCTAGGACTTCTAGTCCTATGTTGAACAGCAGTGGTGATAGTGGACATCCCTGCTGTGTTCCTGACCTTAGGGGAAAAGCTCTCAATTTTTCTCCATTGAGAATGATATTCTCTGTGAGTTTTGCATAGATGGCTTTGATGATATTGAGGTATGTACCCTTTGTCCCTACACTGTGAAGAGGATGCTGTACTTTGTCAAATGCTTTTGCAGCATCTACTGAGAGTATCATGTGGCTCTTGTTCTTTCTTTTATTAATGTATAGTATCACAGTGGTTGATTTGCGGATGTTGAACCAACCTTGCAGCCCAGGAATAAATCCCACTTGATTGTGGTGAATAATCTTTTTAATGTATTGTGGATCCTAATGGCTAGTGTTTTGGTGAGAATTTTTCCATCCATGTTCATCAAGAATATTGGTCTGTAACTCTCCTTTTTGGTGGGGTCTTTGTCTGGTTTTGGGATTGGGATAATGCTGGCTTCATAAAATGAGTTTGGAAGGTTTCCTTCCATTTCTATTTTTTGGAACAGTTTCAGGAGAATAGGAATTAAGACTTCTTTAAATGTTTGGTAGAATTCCCCTGGGAAGCCATCTGTCCCTGGGCTCTTGTTTGTTGGGAGATTTTTGATGACTACTTCAATCTCCTTACTGGTTATGGGTCTGTTCAGGTTATCTATTTCTTCCTGGTTCAGTTGTGGTAGTTTATATGTCTCTAAGAATTCATCCATTTCTTCCAGATTGTCAAATTTGCTGGCATATAGTTGCTCATAATATGTTCTTATAATTGTTTGTATTTCTTTGGTGTTGGTTGTGATCTCTCCTCTTTCATTCATGATTTTATTTATTTGGGTCCTTTCTCTTTTCTTTTGGTAAATATGGCCAGAGGCTTATCAATCTTATTCATTCTTTCAAAAAACCAGCTCCTAGTTTCATTGATTTTTTTCTACTGTTCTTTTGATTTCTATTTCATTGATTTCTGCTCTGATCGTTATGATTTCTCTTCTCCTCCTGGGTTTAGGCTTTCTTTGTTGTTCCTTCTCCAGCTCCTTTAGATGTAGGGTTAGGTTGTATACTTAAGACCTTTCTAATTTCTTGAGAAAGGCTTCTATTGCTATATACTTTCCTCTCACAACTGCCTTTATTGTGCCCTGCAGATTTTGAACAGTTGTTTTCATTTTCATTTCTTTCCATGAATTTTTTCGTTCTTCTTTAATTTCTTGGTTGACCTATTCATTCTTTGGTAGGATGCTCTTTAGCCTCCCATGTATTTGAGTTTCCAACTTCCCTCTTGTGACTGAGTTCTAGTTTCAGAGCATTGTGGTTTGAATATATGCAGAGAATGATCTCAATCTTTTGGTACTGGTTTAGACCTGATTTGTGACCCAGGATGTGATCTATTCTGGAGAATGTTCCATGTGCACTAGAGAAGAATGTGTATTCTGTTGCTTTGGGATGGAATGTTCTGAATATATCAGTGATGTCCATCTGGTCCAGTGTTTCATTTAAAGCCTTTATTTCCTTGTTAATCTTTAGCTTAGATGATCTGCCCATATCAGTGAGGGGGTGTAAAAGTACCCTACTATTGTTGTATTATTGTTGATGTGTTTCTTTGATTTGTTATTCATTGGTTTATATAGTTGGTTGCTCCCATGTTAGGGGCATAGATATTTAAAATTGTTAGATCTTCTTGTTAGACAGACCCTTTGAGAATGATATAGTGTCCTTCTTCATCTCTTATTATAGTCTTTGGCTTAAAATCTAATTGATCTAAAATCTAATTTGATCTTAAAATCTAATTGAACCCCACCTTTCTTTTGATGTCCATTAGCATGGTAAATTGTTTTCTACCCCCTCACTTTAACTCTGATGGTGTCTTTGGGTCTAAAATGAAGTTTCTTGTAGATAGCATATTGATGGGTCTTGTTTCTCTATCCAGTCTGATACCCTATGTCTTTTGATTGGGGCAGTTAGCACATTTACATACAGGTTAACTAGTAAAAGATATGAATTTAGTGCCACTGTATTGCCTGTAAGGTGACTGTTACTGTATATTGTCTCTGTTCCTTTCTGATCTACTACTTTTAGGCTCTCTCTTTGCTTAGAGGACCCCTTTCGATATTTCCTCTAAGGGCTGGTTTGGTGTTTGCAGATTCTTTTAATTTTTGTTTGTCCTGGAAGCTTTTTATCTCTCCTTCTATTTTCAATGATAGCCTAGCTGGATATAGTATTCTTGGCTGCATGTTTTTCTCGTTTAGTGCTCTGATTATATCATGCCAGCTCTTTCTGGCCTGCCAGGTCTCTGTGGATAAGTCGGCTGCCAATCTAATATTTTTACCATTGTATGTTACAGACTTCTTTTCCCAGGCTGCTTTCAGGATTTTCTCTTTGTCACTAAGACTTGTAAGTTTTACTATTAGATGACGGGCTGTGGACCTATTTTTAATGATTCTGAGGGGAGTTCTCTGTGCCTCCTGGATTTTGATGCTTGTTCCCTTTGCCATATTAGGGAAATTCTCAACTATAATTTGCTCCAATATACCTTTTGTCCCTCTCTGTCTTTCTTCTCCTTCTGGAATCCCAATTATTCTAATATTGTTTCATCTTATAGTATCACTTATCTCTCTAATTCTCCCCTCGTGGTCCAGTAGTTGTTTGTCTCTCTTTTGCTCAGCTTCTTTATTCTCTGTCATTTGGTCTTCTATATCACTAGTTCTCTCTTCTG